ACGTACGTACGTACGTACGTACGTACGTACGTACACTACGACACGATATAAACAGATGTCTGCACACACACACACACACACACACACACACACACACACACACACACACACACACACACACACACACACACACACACACACACACACAATACGTGCACACAAGGCTGCAAGCATGTACAAGTTGGCAGATGTACACAAAACACTGTTTAAAAGCACTGGTCCCTGACTGCCCTCTTGCTCTAAGCAGATGTTTGTTTTATTCAATAACTTCACATAGAAGATCCTCACACTCACACACACACACATACGTGCACACACTAAAACAACAGACACACTTCCCTCATCCGACTGTATACGAGACACATGCCAGAACTGCTTTTCCAAAAGTGTAAAGGCAAAGAAAGTATATACATGTGACCCTTTTCAACTTTTCAACTTTGCGGATATTTTTCAACAGTATAGCAAACCCAATCATTATGGTTTCTCTGTGTGTATGCCTATTGTAGGAATGAACGCAGGTTCCTACGATGACTTTGTGACTGCAGTATGTCAAGAGCTCCACAGATGACGCATGTATTCCCTGTCTTAAGTTAGACCTTTTTACAGGAAGCAGTTGCTTAATTTTGGAACGTTAAAAGGGAATTCATGACTATAATTCTCTGGTGAGCGACAAACACATGTTGTGGCTCCAAGCTTATTAGTGTCAACAAACCATGGATTCCCCCTTTTGGTAATTGTGCTTTAATTTATTCCTGTAAAACAATTGGCAAAGTTAAGGTGATACATTTACATTTGTCAGGTTCTTAATTCTTGGAACCTGTTGGGACAGCAACAAACCATATGCACAAAAAATAGGAAATCTGGATCAAAGCCTTTATTCCATGTGACCAAGCCATCTTTCCTCTGTCCACTTAGCTCTAAAAAGCAGCAATTCCAGCATTAATTTTTGCTCATTATGCTTGGGCCAATAATGTGTAATAAATTATTCAATCTCAGTTCTGCTAAGCATTTTAACCTCTTGGATTTGTGGTTATATTAAGCCTTGAAAACATCTATTCCAATTATCGTTTAGGAAATAGCTTAAGGCTGTCTTAGATTTCATGATTAAAGAAAAATGTGGCCTTCACCTCCTTTCCTTCAGCAGCTGGAGAATCCAGACGTTAAGCCAGTTGGAGGGGTTGGCCATTGTAAAGCGTGAATGCAGTGATAGGGAAGACTGTTATCTGAACGTTTAGATAGGCGGTTTAACTGGCGAGCGTGAGCACTGCGACAACAACATTAATCAAGAGACCCACAGATTCAGCTTCTCAAACTGCGATAAAACAAACACCTATAATCACAGTTCAATCAGTTCTCCAATCTGAATCAGACAACAATATTTATTGTGTGCTTCTCAGGCCTTCACTCTGAAAACTATGCAAAAAATTGAAAGCAGATTACAGAGAGAATTCCCATTGGCCTCGTGTACCAGACAACACACAATCCATAAGACCTCACACATTCTGCCATCACTTCTCACAAATCCTCAAGTAAAGAATCAGCATGAGAAACAGGGAAATTGGAAATGAATAGCTGGCTGTATGTGTGAGTATGTAGCCTATGTGTGTGAAGCAAATCCCTCTAATAGAAATAGGCCTCTATAATGTGTCACTTAGTATTTCAAACCCCATCAGTTTCCAGTTGAATAGTTTCCTGAGGAAATACTCATTCAAGTGCTGGCAGAGAGCCTCAGTCTGCTCTGTAGATTTCCAGCACACACACACACACACACACACACACACACACACACACACACACACACACACACACACACACACACACACACACACACACACACACACACACACTCCTAAACTTTCACTGTAACATGCAAAAATTCAAAACCAGGTGCCTTCTCAGCATATCTTTCAACACTTCAACAGCCTAAATATTATAGTAGAGTGGCAAATGACAGTAATCACATCACGTCAGATAAAGATAATAATAGAAAATCACTAGGTTGTTGTTACCAATTGAACAACTCAATAAAAATCATGTTCTGTGTACCAGGTCAGGTTTATTTCATTAAATTAATTAATCCCATTTAACTGCTTTGATGTCTCACTGTCTCTCACTGGAGCACTTGAACAGAGCAGAGCTATTGTTAGTGTTAAACTTATTAGTAACACTTGTGCTTTACCTAATCTGAAATGTCAAAATGACTGCTGTGAAAAAGGCCTATTGCACACTATGAACTGGAATCAAAGAAACAAAATAACAAAGAATACAAATAAATATAATAAATGCATACATGTTTGATAAAACAAGGCAATGTGTGTTTCCCACAAACTACCTTCAATCCACACACAGTCTCTCAACACAAAATACTTAAATTCGTGCCGAAAACAAATCAGCATTTTCCCCTCTAATTTATTTACTGGCATAATAATAATATCAATAACAGCATCTATTGTGGATCCAAACTGTGCAGTGATTGTTGGGAAAAAGCCTCAGGACTCGCAATCTCTAGACGCATACAATTACGTTGATTCGGCTTAAAAACAACAATATAATCAAAATACAAAAGAGAAATGATGAAAGCCATAGATAATTGAAAAGATTTGACAATCCTAAATAATGGAAAATAGCATATTAAAAAATATGATGACGTGGTCTACCCTATTCAGCCCACTTCAGATCAAATGTGAGGCTCTGATGTGTATAGTGAATACTAAATTGTTTTACTGAAGTCTCTCCACATACTCTTTCTTTCTCTTCCTACCCAGGAGTGTTAGGGGAGATGGGGCTTGTGGGAGAGGTGGGCCCCACTGGAAAGATGGGGCCTATTGGGGAAAGAGGTATGAAAAAAGAGTCATTTCTAAAAGTATTTTAATGTAAATACTGTTGTTTTTGTCTCTACTTCTCTACCAATTTCTATTTCTCTTGAGGTAACCCCATACTATGGTATGAATATTGTTCTAATGGATACTTAAGCCTTAAATCAAAGGGAGTGTAAAATTGGAAAGCGCATCAAGTGGAACACCTCCTATCCTGAGTGTCCTGTGTTCCTGTTTCACTGCCATGACACTTTTCCAACCTGCCTGTAATTGTCGACAAAAGGCTACAAAAATGTAGTGGTGGGGTTTTTACAGGATTTCATTGACTTTAATATTGCACAGAGAAAATAATTATAGTTCCCCGAATTCATCCTCAGTCCAAGCACAGCTTCATTATCATGGACTCAAAACATTGAAATAAGAAGAACGGACATTACACAAATCAGCAAACCTAATTATCCCAAGGCTAAGATACACAAGTCAGAATTTTCCCACTTTCTTTCATGTTTTAAACGATCCAAAGATAGAAGAAAACATGATGTCATCAGGCTGCTTTGCCCAGGGTGGCTGAAACAATTTCTAGCTTATTTTTATTTTTATGAGCAGTCATGTTCCCCTGCCATTCTAGGCATTCACTTTTCCTCAGTATTCATTATGTTTAATACACTTACAGGAAAGTGGCTGTGCATCAGCCATCTCAGGCAAAGGAGTGAGGTCACAGGTTTGGATTTCCCTTGATCCCGAGCGCCTGTAGCTCATAAAACACCTACAGAAAAACACATTTTCCAACTAAAATCCTGCTACTCTCTATTTCTGAATTTCATGGTACAATCTCACTCACAGAAGCTAGTTTTAATTTCTATGGATCTAGCAAAAGATACATAAGATTGCCATGATACATGATGCTTTATGTCTATGCATTTGTCTGATTATTATTAGAGTGTTTACAGGGCTAGCATTTTTTTGTACAAAATATCAACCATGTAAGGCTTTAAAAAACGATTTGCAGCATTTCTCTCTGGATATGTTTTACTGGCAACAGTATAATCCGTTTGTTTACTCAAAGATCAGATTGTACATGAACGAAATGTCCTAATAAAAAACCAGCCTACCATCATCTTTTTACTGCAGCCCTCCTCCCCAAAATGTGCAACATTCAACAACACATTGTGTCAGTGTTGCTCAAATATGGGTTGATATGTTCTGGATTACTACTATTATTATGTTTTTTAATTTGAGGTGTCTTGTTGAGTTCAATTTTGAAAAAAAAATATCTGGGTTACAATAGTTCAATAGTCAATGTATACCTGTGTGCAGCCATTTCTCATGTTTTGTGTATGACGCAGCCATCTAGTGGTGAAATTCTAGAACTACATCACAATGTAATGTAAAAATAATTTAATAAGTATTTTCTCACATGTGATTTCTATATTCTGTAGGTATCAAAGGTGACCCAGGTTATATTGGGCTCGCTGGTTTTAAAGGGAAACCAGGTGAGTAAGAATCCAGCATGTAGACATACATTTTTCCAAGTCCTATGCATTACAGTAACGGCCCTTCTGCTCCTTTCAGACCCACATGACCAGGTTGCAGCAATATTACATTTACAAATAAAAAGACAAATAGGGAATGTGTCAATATTTCCCGGAAATTTTAACATCCAGACTTGTGAAGGGTTTTTAAATTGTACATATAGACTTGAGCATGTTATGTCACTTACTGTACACATTTAAACTGTTCCTACTAAATTGATTAGATTCTATCCTAAAATGGCTATCAAATCATAAAACAACAAAAGCCCAGGACTTACACAAATATACTGTGGTACAGCTTTGTCAGAGACGCAGGAAGGTGATTCAGAAATACGGTACAAACTCAACTGACACGTCTTTTATCATTCAGGCACAACCTGTGACTGTGGCAGGTACAGGAAAGTGGTCGGGCAGCTGGATGTCAATGTAGGCACGCTGAGGAATGCTGTCAAGTTTTTGAAGAATGGTAAGCACATAGTGTTTGGATATTTGAATGATGTGAAAACCACTGCATGCAGCTCTAAACAATTAAAGTTATTTAAAAATGAATATTTCATTTAAGATTCCTGCAAGCCACCTAAGAAACTCAATGTTGTGTTACTTATTATTTATTCTTTTGTTATATTTTTATTCCCCTAATCTTGGAATTCAAATTCAGAAAAACATATTTCCTCTTTTTTTCATAACGCCCGCAATCATGTGGCTTAACTTGTTGAAAAAAGCTGACACTAGTATAAGATTGTGATGTTATAGAAAAAGGTTTATGACACATGGCACTGTCCGACTGGCTTCTGGCTTGTTTTGTTTCCTTCTTTTATTGTATTCAATTCCTTATTTTTCTTTAACCCTTAACCCTGTGCAGTCATTTTGGGTCTGAAGGAAACAGAAGAGAGGTACTACCTGCTGGTGAAAGAGTCCAAGAGGTTCGGAGAGGCTTCAATGAACTGCAAGCTGAGAGGAGGAACCCTGGCCATGCCAAAAACCAGCGACACCAACCAGCTCATGGCGGAATACGTCAGTCAGGCTGGACTGATGAGAGTTTATATAGGAGTGCAGGCTCAAAGCAATGACACAGTAAGTAGTCCCCATCACATACTCATAATATGTGCACACACACACTGCAGCAGGTGGAATTTCTCTGTCCTTTTGTTCTCTTGTGTTTTATAAAATAGGAGAAGTATCTGTGCCATAATTCTCCTGAAACCTGGTTTAATAATTAGAAACGTTTTAAGTGTTCTTTGCTGTGAATAACTTTCTAATGATTTTTGTTCTGTTTTGTCATCAGGATGGAACAAGCGGTCATGTTTTTGCAGACTCCAGCCCTCTGCAGGGTTTCACAGCTTGGAGCCAAAAGGAGGAGCTAAATTCCCCAGTATCTCCCCACAAAAACTCAAGCTGTGTGGAGCTGCTCAGCTCTGGAACATGGAGTCATGTGGAGTGTGAAGCCGCCATGTTTTTCATCTGTGAGTTCCCAAAGAGCAGGAGAAGAGGAGCAGGAGGAGGAGGAGGAGGAAGAGGAAGAGGGACACCTGCCCCAGTACCATCCTGAGACATTTAAACTTGCATGCATAAGAGATATAGGTATACATATATCCATTGTTGTCGAGAATTAGTATATGCATGTAATAAAATATAACTGAAAATTTATATATATTTTTTTTTTACTTGAAGAATGGTAGATAATTTGCTCAGATGATCACAGACGGACGGGTCATACATATTTGGGAGAATGCTAAATATGTATGCTGTATATGAACACATCATAATTCTGATTGTCTCCAGATCCGGGCAGGTACATTAACATAGTATTCTGCCCTCGCAAGAATACTTTTCGGATTGCAGGCTTGGCAGATAGCTTAACACGGAAATAAACACCCAGGAGACAGCAGCTCAGTTTTGGATGTTTATTGTTTGAGTTCCATTTTCATTTCCATTTTTGTAAAAAGACATAAAGACCCTAGAATTTGAGCAAGGATTTTGTTGGCAGGAAACAACCCATGTGCTCCATAGACAGACAGAAACAGGAAACTACGGCAAGCATTTATGGACACCCAGTGCAAAACCCAAAAGCCTTTGCAGGCCCTCTTAAAGGGGCAGCACACTCCCCGCTTGGTATAATGTACCACTAAGTCCCTTTGAGAAGGAGAACAACTTCAGAGACTGGTCTTGAATACACCCTGGGAGAACCTTCTTTAATCACCCGTACTTCCACTTTACGGCAGAGTCCTGCATCGGGTCGGGTTCCCGCGGTTACCCGACGGGTGACGGGTCACCCGTCGGGTAACCGCGGGAACCCGACCCGATGCAGGACTCTGCCGTAAAGTGGAAGTACGGGTGATTAAAGAAGGTTCTCCCAGGGTGTATTCAAGNAAGTATCGACAATAGTTTCAGACGACTCGGAACAGCAGGAATGCTCCCCCTTGACCAAGAGTACCACCCAAGCTCGAACAGTCAGAACGAATATGAGCTGGTGGACACCAGACCCGTTCGAACCTAGAACTCATAAAACGAAAGGCCAGTGTTTGTGTGAAACAGTTCTCTTTTCTTACCACCTTATGCATGAGACACACAAAGAAACATGCACTACGATCTCTCGGTGAACAGTACGTCCCTTATACCGTCGAAAACTGTCTACCCTCACTACGCGTGCCCTACACAGATCCACGAGTCTGGTTCTGATCTAGGTAGACAGAACCGCCGAGGTCGAGTCTCTTAACAAGAGGCAAGGGAAGTTGAAAACTAAGAGAAACAACTAAAAACCCTCTTAGTAGCTGAGAAAACTCCTGCACGTAAAAGATAACGAAGTTCCCTCAGGTATTAGTTAGAAGGTTGGAAAAGGTATGCGTATAACATTGGACAAGGGCGTAATCCAACACTGGCTAGACTGAAAAACTACAAGCTCCCTAAAGCCAGGTTCGTAAATGTGTCCTCCAGCTCAAAGAGAACTACTGTCCAGTCGGGAGAACCTTGACTCTTAATACGAAAGGTCCCGGTTATCAAAAGGCCGACCAGTAAGTTTGACGTTTACGGGGCCTTCCATTGGTAAAGGCTGTGAAAGCTCAGCAGCAACCCAGATAAGCAATGTCCACTCCACCACAAACCACACCCTCTCAGGAAATGCCGTGGTTTCAGGTATAAATCTCTGGATGAGAAAAAAGCATATCTTAAGGATTCAAACATTTGCTTTAGGTGTTGTGCATCAACCAGCCACCAAGCCAAAGACTGTGACAAAAATGTTCAGTGCAGAGAGTGCAACAGTGACCGCCACCCTACTGCACTACATCCAGGACCGGCTCCATGGACAACAGGGGCCGCCGTAACCTGAAGATATCAAAGCGGGGAGCAAAACGAATCTCCTCCTGTCACGTCAAAATGCACTGACATCTGTGGGACTGAAGTAAAGCCAAGATCATGCACCAAGGCAGAGTGTATCCGGCAGGCCAGAGAGAGAGAGCTGTCAAAAATATATGTTGTCCTAGATGACCAGAGCAATAAGTCCTTGGCAAAAACAGACTTTTTTGAACTCTTCAATGTTAATGATGGCACAACATCCTACACCCTGAAGACATGGAGTCTTTGAAACCTCAGGGCGGCGAGCAAACAACTACATCGTGGAGTCATTGGACGGCAAAACGTGTATATCACTTCCCACTCTAATCGAATGTGATATGCTCCCAGATGACAAGTCTGAAATTCCCAAACCTGAGATCGCAAAACACTACACACATCTCAACCGGGTTGAGGACAAGATCCCTGCACTAGATTCTGCTGCAGACATTCTCTTACTGCTTGGCTGAGATATACCACAGGCATATAAAGTTCGGGAGCTGTGCAATGGACCACACAATGCCCCGTATGCTCAACGCCTCGACCTAGGTTGGGTGATCATAGGAGAAGTCTGTCTTGGAAAAGCCCACAAACTAGACTGCATCAATGTCTACAGGACCAACGTGCTGATAAATGGACGTACGTCTCTTTTTGACCCTTGCAATAACACTCTACACATCAAAGAGAGAGTGGATACTCCAACTCTTCACCACCATTTTCCAAGAGCTAAAGAGATGAACAATCTGTTCGATAAAAAAAAAAGGAGTTTTCCAGCAGACACCACATGATGACAAGGTTGCCATGTCTGTAGAAGACATAATCTTCCTGGAAGTAATGGACAGATAAGTCTTCATGGATGACTCAAATAGTTGGGTAGCACCTTTACCTTTCAGAGAACAAAGACGTAAACTCCCCAACAACAGAGCACAAGCTGTCCAGCGTCTCCTGCGTTACGCCACATGCTTAAAAAAAAGCCAGACATGAAGGAACATTTTATCACTTTCATGAGGAAGATCTTTGAGTCTAGTCATGTTAAACCTGCACTCCCTCTCAGTGAAGAGCAAGAGTGTTGGTATCTACCAATCTTTGGAGTCTATCATCCACGCAAGCCAGGTCAAATTCGAGCGGTGTTCGACTCCAGTGCCAAGCAAGACGGCATCTCACTTAATGACGTTTTGTTGACTGGTCCAGATCTCAACAATTCACTCTTGGGTGTCCTCACTCGCTTCCGTAAGGAACCTGTTGCTGTTGCTGTAGACATAGAGCAAATGTTCTACTGCTTCAAAGTTCGTGAGGAGCACCGCAACTTCTTACCTTTCCTATGGTTTGAGGACAATGACCCTGCCAAAAGAGTCAAAGAGTAGAGACCCGGCAGCAGAACGAATCTAAAGGGAAGGCATATGATTTTCATGGGAGGGCACACAAAACCGTCACGTGCTGCGGGCACAATATATATCAAACAGCAAGGCCAACAGCATTGCATAAAGACACACACTTATCGCAAATAGATACACAAATAAAGGGCAACATAGAAACAACTTTTGAAACATTGTTTGCGTGGCAACACAAACACTGGTAAATCACGAGCAAGGCACACACTGGGTAAGGATGGCAGCTTCCTCATCGTTGCACTCGGAGAGAAATAGTAGAGACGGAGACGATGAACTGTTTAGCCCTCCTTGGGCATGGTTTATTTTCTATGCACTGCAGGTGCATCCTTTCGCTCTACTTGTCAAACCTCCCGATTTTCGCGGGAGACTCCCGATTTCATTGCCCTCTCCCGGTTTCCTCCCGGGGTCATATTTCTCCCGATTTCTGACAAAATCAGATTTACTCAGGACTGTTTCCACTCGGACTTTAATACAGCTACACCATTGTTTGGTTTCCATGGTAACACGTCTCTTTAGTACTGCGCGCAACTGAAAGTCTGACAGGGTGAGGCAGATAGGCACTGAAAAAAGAACAAGAATCGACAACTACTCTACTCTCTGCTCACTCCTTTCCTGCCCACACAAATGCTCCATCAAGGATGGTGCTACATGACTGCACTTAGAACTACAATAAGCATGTTAATGTCAATCTAACAGCTCCGGCGATAAACTAGCACCCCCCCATTTTGAAATACTCCCGATTTCTGAGGTCTCAAGGTTGGCAAGTATGAGCCGAGCTAACTTAGAACATTATTTAGTCCAACTCTGCATCTTTGTGCAGCGTATACTCAAACAGCGATAAGAAGAGCCCACTGCCTGACTCGGACATGTTGTGGAGTGAATCGTGGTCACCTCTGAGAGGGAGTTGGTTGACAGCTAAAAAAGCTATAATATCAACGACAGCTGACACGTAATAACGGTTCCGTGCCAGCTGATCTGTGTGCACCAACTAATTTCCTTATTTGTTACCTCGCGTATCTGTCTCTCTCTCCACAAACTCACATGAAATGTGTTTTTTGATGCGGCATGCCTTAGCAGTCCTTTATCAGTCTGTAATGCGTGTTTCCAGTCGCAAAAACCTTTGACAGTAAAAGCCGCATCAGATGAAGACGTATTTACTTTAAACTGTCTACAGGGGAAACAAAAGGCTGCGTCTGCTTTTAACAAATATTCAAGCCATGGTCTATTGTAGTACCATGCAGTGGCAAAAGTGCGCTTCTTTCCTGAAAACAATCTCCCTGGATAACGATCCAGTTTCACCTGTTGGTCTTTGAGCGGTTGCTGGCCCAAAAGTAGCCTACCTGTTGATGTGCTGCAAGGTAGCGTCTGTAGTGGAGGCACCGGCACGGAAGAAGAGGATGGCGGGTGTGGTACAGGGTGTGGAAACGCAAGTGGTGATGGTAGGGGCACAAGGAGCTGTGCCTCGGAGGACAGTGTTGGTGGCGGCCGCGTTGATGAGTCAAGGGCACGCTGGGCTCGCTGGGCTCGCTGGGCTCGCTAACCCAGCGAGAGCCCAGGACCGTGGGACGAACTTCGTTGGTGCTTGTAAAGAACTTGGAATAACACAAGGAAACGCTGAGCTCCAGTCCTACCTCAAAAAGCAGAGTTGTACATGGGACTTCAATCTGCCACATTCTTCACATATGGGAGGAGTGTGGGAAAGGATGATGCTCGTCGCATTTTGAATGCTATGTTGCTCAAGGTGCAATCTCCCAATCTTTCGCATGAAGTCCTCATCACATTGATGGCAGAAGTCACTGCTATAATGAATGCAAGACCAATAGTTCCAGTGTCATCAGATCCAGACATGCCCACTGTACTCACCTTGACCTTAAAGATCTTTACCGGAGTCAATGGAAG